TGGCTTGAAAAGACGTCAAGGATTGGAGACTTATTTTCTCTGGCTGGCCCTTCTTGGGCCCTGAGCGTTGCCCTAAACCCATCAGCATGGCCCAGCGACCAGAATGCACCTGTTGGCTCCCTTTAGGTCAAAGGCTGTGAGTTTGAAAGGGTCTGGGACAGAGGGCCTGTTATCCCAAGAAAGGCCAGAGGCTTTGGACAGCAGAAGGTAAGTGGCCACGACCGGATGGAATTGGGATATGCAGAGAAAGAAACATTAAAAATTCACAGCCTCAGGGCGCCTAGGTGGCTCAGTTGGTTAAGCGACTGCCTTCGGCTCAGGTCATGATCCTGGAGTCCCGGGATCGAGTCCCGCATCGGACTCCCTGCTCGGCAGGGAGTCTGCTTCTCCCTCTGACCCTCCTCCCTCTCATGCTCTCTGTCTCTCATTCTCTCTGTCTCAAATAAATAAACAAAATCTTAAAAAAAATAAATAAAATAAAATAAAAATAAAATAAAAATTCACAGCCTCTAACAGAAGATATCCAAGGGCACCTGGGTGGGTCAGTTGTTCAGCGTCTGCCTTCGGCTCAGGTCATGATCCCGGGGTCCTGGGATCGAGCCCCGCATCGGGCTCCCTGCTCCGCGGGAAGCCTGCTTCTCCCTCTCCCACGCCCCCTGCTTATGTTCCCTCTCTCATTGTGTCTCTCTCTGTCAAATAAATAAATAAAATCTTAAAAAAAAAAAATTACCCTAGTAATACACGAATATATTTTTGTGAGAGAGTCTAACAATTCAAATCTATGTAGAGCAAAATATGAAGTTCCTCTTCATCAGCTTCTACTATCAACAGTTTGAAGCACATCCTTACAGCCTCTTTGCTTTGCATTTATGTAGATATGTGCACAGGGCTCCTAGCTAACACTAATTGGGCACTTACTACCTGTCAGGCACTGCTCCATGGAATTTACATAGATTAATTTGTTTAATCTCCACAACAATGGCATGAGGCAAATTCTATTATCTCTTTTATTTATGTATTTATTTATTTATTTTTTAAAGATTTTATTTATTTATTCATGAGAGATAGAGAGAGAGAGAGAGGCAGAGGCAGAGGGAGAAGCAGGCTCCCTGCGGAGCAGGGAGCCCGATGTGGGTGGGACTCGATCCCAGGACCCTGGGACCATGACCTGAGCCGAAGGCAGACGCTTAACCAACTGAGCCACCCAGGCGTCCCATTTATGTATTTATTTTAAAGATTTTATTTATTTATTTGAAAGAGAGAGAACATGAGCAGGGGGAGGGGCAAAAGAAGAGAGAGGGAGCAGCAGGCTCCTTGCTGAGCAGGGAGCCCAATGCAAGCCTCGATCCCAGGACCTGAGATCATGAACTGAGCCGAAGTCAGATACTCAACCTGCTGAGTCATCCAGGCACTGCTCTATTATCTCTTTTACAGAGGAGGAAACACAGGTCCAGAGAGGTGAAGTAACTTCCCCAAAGCCACACAGCTTCAGAGAGGAGGAGCTCAGATTCAAACCCAGATAGCCTGGCCCCAGATTCTATATACCTAACCATTGCATTCTACTCTCTTAAGAATTTTCTCTTTTCCATAAAGGGGATCATACCTTGTGTATCCTTGGCATGTTGCTGTTTGCATTCGATACCTTTTAGAGAACATTCCATGTCAGTTCATACAGGTCTTCTTCCCTCACTTCAAGGGCAGCACAGTACTGTATGGTGTCCCAGCACTAAGATGCTGTAATGTATCTGTCCATTTCTTGCAGACAAACCGTCAAGGGGTTTCTACCCTTTCATTTTGACAAGCAATCCTTTGGCCCTCATCACTTGTCCATATGTCTCTGGGCACTCACAGCGATTTGCAGTTTACACCCCACTATCGGCGAATAAGCACCCAACCCCCACACTCTTGCCAGCGCTGGATGGGTACAGCTTCTGCTTACGGCCCCTGGAGGGAGGTGGGAAAGTTATAGCTCTTTTGATGTTTTGCTTCGCATTTCCCAGATTACCAGTGAGCTCAGGCATCTTTTCAAGTGTTTACGAGGACCATTTCTGGATTATCTTCTGTGAGTGGATATCTTCCTTTTTTTTTTTTTTAAGGTTTTATTTATTTATTTGACAGAGAGTGACACCGTGAGAGAGGGAACACAGCAGGGGGAGGGGGAGAGGGAGAAGCAGGCTTCCCACGGAGCAGGGAGCCTAATGCGGGGCTCGATCCCAGGACCCCGGGACCATGACCTGAGCCGAAGGCAGATGCTTCACTGACTGAGCCACCCAGGTGCCCCTAGTAGGGTAATCGTTTTAAAGCTCCCACCCTCCAATCCCTCGCTGTGATGTCCATTAACATGCTTCCTTTTGTGGAATATTCTCATTCCGTGAGGGACAGGGCAGGGTCTGGCATGGTCCAACCCCCACTCTTGTGCAGTTGGAGAAAGGGAAGCTGCCAGAGGTTAAGCTATGGGTCCAGCCTCAAGCTTTGATTCGCCGGCCAGCCTGGGGCCCCCACCCAGAATCTTGTTACCTCCATTCCCACCCCACAGCCATCTCTGTCACGGAGTTCAGTCCTCAGCATTCCACTGTCTTTATACCCTTAGGGCATGTTTTCCTCCTTTAGGCTGTGCAAATAGCCCTCACTCAAAATGTCCTGTTCTGTCCTCTTGCCAACTCTCGGAAGCAGATGATATTTCCTCATTTTCCACATGAGGAACCTGAAGAACAGAATGGTCAAGTAGCATGCCCAAGGGCACACAGCTCATAAGCAGCCGAGCTGCGTTTCAAACCCATCTCTTTCTGGCGTTAAGGCTTGTGTCTTTTTTTAAAAGTTAGATTTAGGGGCACCTGGGTGGCTCAGTCGTGCATCGGGCTCCCTGCTCAGCGGGAAGCCTGCTCCTCCCTCTCCCACTCCCCCTGCTTGTGTTCCCTCTCTTGCTGTCTCTCTCTCTGTCAAATAAATAAGTAAAATCTTTTAAAAAATAAAATAAAATAAATAAAAGTTAGATTTAATTAGTGTTTTAAATAAGTTACTCCCGGTACCATCCATCCAAGAAAACCTAAAAGCAGGAGTGTATTCTGAGGTCTCACACTGCTGGTGTTCAGAGCCCGCCATGGCTTCGGATGCTTGCATCCAAATCTGCACGGCCCTCTGGGCATGGCTGGCCTGGACGGACATCTGTGGTTTCATCTGGGTCATAATGTCCCAGCCAGGAGGGTAGAGTTAAGATGAGAAAGAAGCCTTGGACTATGTTGAGCCCCTGGCCTCACCCCAGCACAGAACTCGTGGAGGCCAAGACCTGGAGTATGAAAGAGTCAGCACAGAGGGAAGCAAAAACGATGACTCAGCTCCAGGTCATGATTTCCGTCTACCTTGCCTAAGAGATGAGTCATGGCCTGTATGCCTTTAATTTTCAGACTTCTAACTCATCCCAGCAGGGACTAGGAAGCTGATGAAGGAAAACTCCCTGCTGCGTAGGCTCTGCCCCTGATGGTCTGAGTTCAAATTCTGTCTCTGCTCCTTACTAATCCTGGGACCTTAGCAAATCACTGAGCCCACATTTCCCCACCTGTAAACGGCAGATGCTAACCCCTCTCTTGCGAGGTTACTCCACCTAATCAATAATTCATTGAGCACCTACTATGTGCCAGGCACAAGGAATGTGGTAGTAAACAGAACAGACAAAACTCCTGCCCCCACAAAGCTTACATTCCGGGGAGAAAAAAAAACTGATCAAATAATGTGTGTACATTGTAATGTCAGCTGGTGATAAGCGCAGTGAGGAATCAGTGAGGTAGGACAGAGGGTCAGGAGGGTTGACAGAGACAGTTCCTATAAACTACCTGGCACAGGGCCCAGCACATAGTAGGGCCTCCACAAGGAGATCTGAATTTCCCTCCTTGTGGTTTAGGGAGTAAGAGCTGCATGGTCTGCAGGACTGAACAGGCCTCCGCTCGCTGGAGGAGACAGAAGGTCATTCCCAGCTGCGGGGCAGGAAAACTGTTTGCTCAGTGTGTGTGTGTGTATGTGGTGTTTAAGATATTTTTTATTGAGGGGCGCCTGGGTGGCTCAGATGGTTAAGCGTCTGCCTTCAGCTCAGGTCATGATCCCAGGGTCCTGGGATTGAGTCCCGCATCGGGCTCCCTGCTCAGTGGGGAGCCTGCTTCTCCCTCTGCCTCTCTCTCTCTCTGTCTCTTATGAATAAATAAATAAAATCTTAAAAAAAAAGGTATTTTTTTATTGAGATGAAATTCACGTAGCATAAAATTCACCTTAACGACTTTCAAGTGAACAATTCAGTGATGTTTAATATGTTCACACTGTTGTGCAACCATCACCTCCATCCTCTTCCAAGATATTTTCATCACCCCAAAAGGAAACCCGTGTCCGCCAAGCAGTCAGTCCCCGTTCCCAGCTCCCCTGTCCCCCACAACCATTAGTCGGTGGCAGGGGCAGAGCAGGATTCAAACCCAGAAAGTCTGTGCTTGTCATGACCACTTACCACTCTTGCCACTCCCCTGTCGTGTCTTGCTTCCTGTCATGCCTCCCATACATGCAGAGCACCGACTCTACCGGCTGTTTCCTCAGGTCTCAGCTTGGGGACCACCTCCTCTAAGAAGCCCTCCCTGATCACCTCTTCTGCTAGTGCCTGTGGCAGAGTTCTGTTAATTTTCCTCATAGCACTTAGCAGTTTGTAATTATTTTGTCTGCTGCTTTACCTACTTACTGTCTGCCTCCACCCCTAGACTATAAGCTTTGTGAGGACAGGGGCCCTTCTGTCTTGCTCACTTTGTACTCCCATTTCTTTTTTTTTTTTTTTTTTTAAGATTTTATTTATTTGAGAGAGAGAGACAAAGAGAGCAGAGGCAGGGGCAGAGGGAGAGGGAGAAGCAGGCTCCCTGCTGAGCGGGGAGCCCGACATGGAACTCGATCCCAGGACCCTGAGATCATGACCTGAGCCGAAGGCAGATGCTCAACCGACTGAGCCACCCAGGCGCCCCTGTCTCCCATTTCTTATCTCAGGGCCTAGCTCGGAAGAGGTACTTAATAAATATTAAGTGCACCTGGAGAGTAGTTGAATAATTAAATAAATGAACCTAACATACAAAACATACTGATGTCATGTTTTTATAGGCCTGACACATACAAATTACATTGTTTTCCAAATATTAATTAATGAAGCCTTTGGAATGGCCCCGAGGGGTTGGCCAAGGGTGCTTCCATGCAGAAGATCCAAGACACAAATAGAGTGAAATGATTTATTCTGGGTCACTGATGACTCAGTGTCTGGGAATAGAAACATACTCCAAAACCTTTGCTCTAATTAGTCAAGGTAATTATTGGGCACAATAATTAGGCACAAATGACCTCAGCCAGGCTGTTTTGCAACCTCGGGAATTTAAGACCTGTACTAATTTTGCTTTAATGACTATTTGTTGCGGCTTGCCACCCCCAAACCTTTTCTGCTTTTTCTGAGCAAGCAAACATTTGTCTCAAAACACAGTCTTTTTGGGGCACGTAGCTGGCTTAGTCGGGGGAACGTGGGACTCTTGATTTCGGGGTTGTGAGTTGGAGCCCCAAGTTGGGTGTAGAGATTCCTTTAAAAAAAAAATCTTAAAACACACACACACACACACAATCTTTTCGATAAGAGATGCTTTTCCTCAACCACTGTCACATTCGGGAGTCGTCCCTCAAATAATTTCCCTCTGATACAGTTTTTGCTCTTGTGGGATTCTTTAGGTTTGGGGTTATTTTAAGAGGTGAATTCTGGTCCTTAGGAAACTCCTGGCTCGTTCGCTGCTTGAGTCAATATTTACTGCGCCCCCTACTGGGAGCAGAGCTCTATACACCACGCTAGAGCCAACGGGGAATAAAACAACTCCCACCCCGGGGGGGGGGGGGGGGAACTTTCTGGGCATTCCTGGCAGTACGAGGAGGGTTTGCAGCATTTGAGTGGTTTCTTTATCGTACTCTTTTTTTTTTTTTTTAAGATTTTATTTATTTGAGAGAGAGAGTGAGAGAGAGAAAGAGCACAAGAGGGGGAGCGGGAGAGGGAGAAGCAGACTCCCTGCTGAGCAGGGAGCCCGATGTGGGACTCGATTCCGGGACTCCAGGACCATGACCTGAGCCGAAGGCAGTCGCTTAACCAACTGAGCCACCCAGGCGCCCTCTTTATCGTACTCTTAACCCCTCATTACAGCTAGCCTTTCCCTTGGTCTTTCTCTATATAAAGCATGGCATTGCGGGAGTTTACTCAAAACAGACCTATGAGGAAGGTACTATTATTAGTGCTAGTATTACCCCATTTTACAGATGGGGAAACCGAGGCACCATCAAGTGCCTTGCGCAGATTCACACAGCTGGTAGGTAAGTGACGGTGGCAGGATATGAACCCAGCTCTCAGAATGGGTCCTCTTACCCACTTGACTGGACTCACCGTACCAACATTTCGGATTGTCCAGAAAGGCCCCCCCAATTCTCTGACATTGCACACCCACTTCTATATTCACACACAAACATCTGCTGGGGACTCTCTGGTGGGAGGCAAAGAGCAGGGATATGGAGATGAACCAGAGCACATCCTTTCCCCATTCTGAACTGCTCCACGCAGTAGCTGGGGTGGAGAGGATTTTGAAAAACTAGGTCAGGCCACTGCCTACTGACGATCTTTTGAGGTTCCCAGGGCTCCTAGACTGGAACCCAGAGGCATCTGGATGTACCTATCATCCCCGGGCTGTAGGTGGCGCCATGGGGCAGAGACCCTTCTCAGGAACCACTGCGTTGCTAATCTAGCATCGCTCTTCTCTAACTTAACCTACCCGCACCCCCATCCCGGAGCGCTGCGTGAGAACCCCTGAGGTGAAGGAGGAGGGAAAGTGCAGGGGAATTTAATCAAGTGGGCAACCACCAGATATCCACCTGCCTCTCTCCGGCTTCCCACATCCTCCCCATCTCAGCTACCCTGGCCCACACAACCACCACTTCTTGCCTGCACGATTGTGATAACCTTCTTGCTGGTCTCCCAGCTTCCCCATTAAAACTAACAATCGCAGTATTTTTAATATGAAAAATTTCAAAAAGGTAGAGAGAATAAGGGCGCCTGCCTGGCTCAGTCGGTGGACCATATGCAACTCCTGATCTCAGGGTCATGAGTTCGAGCCCCACGTTGGGTGTAAAGCTTACTTAAAAAAAAGAAAAGAAAAAGAAAAACAGAAATAGACTGGAATAATGAAGGCAATTGTAACAATGATTAGCTCCTCAGCTCACGGCCAACCATGTTTTACCTCTTCTTTAGCCCCCTGGAATTTCTAATTCCTCCTCTCTGGGTTTTTGTTTTGGTTTTTGGTTTTTTTGGACATTTTCACCCTCGGGGACAGGATAATCTGACTTTTCATCAGTTCCCCCCGCAGATGTATTGTCTGTTGTGGCAGAAACTTTATTCCAAGATTCCTTCAGGGATTTGCTTTTGAATCCAAAGTCTTGCTACTCAAAACCAATTCAGAGACATTTAAAAAAAAGAGCCTCTTTTGCGAATCTTGCAAATCAAAAGCCTTGGCTTTCAAGGTTATTATCTCTGCCATGAATTTCAAAAGCCTGTTTAGGAACTGGTGGAAGCCAAGAATTTGGCTCTTTGGCGCTTTCTTTTTTTTTAACTGGTTTGGGTCAAGCCTCTCCAAGGGGTGTGTATCCAGAGTGATTCAGGCCTGAACTTCAATACTGGGTTTTGTGGGGAGAGGGGTCACAGGATTCCTCTTAAAAAGGGAACAAACATAGCATTGCTTCGTGTGCAGAAAATGCTACTCATTGCTATTTTTGTTGTTGTTGGAATAATTTTAGTGAATTTAAATGATTTCTCTGAATGCTCACAGATGTGATGTCCATTCCCCCGTGTTTCCCTCTGGTTTTAAGCTCTTCAACTATAATTACTCCTAATTTAAACTTTCACTAGACCCTAACTCCCACCTCTGGGGCAGTTATTTTCTACTGAATAAGTCAGGTTCCTAGGTGTTTCTGCAAGAGCGGCTTCTCAGGGCTGGACCAGGGTGCACTTGCAAACCAGCGGGCCTGGCTATCACCTAAAGCCCCATGTCATTTCAAGGTCTGATGCTCCTGCTTCGCCTTGCATCATCTGATTTCCTGTCATTCGTGTTGGTATTCATGTTGAAGTTAGTCACCTGTTAAAAAAAAAAGTAAGATGGGCGCCTGGGTGGCTCAGTTGGCTAAACGACTGCCTTCGGCTCAGGTCATGATCCCAGGGTCCTGGGATCGAGTCCCACCATCAGGCTCCCCCTGCTCTGCAGGGAGCCTGCTTCTCCCTCTGCCTCTGCCTGCCACTCCCCCTGCTCGTGTTCTCTCTCTCTCTCTAATAAATAAATAAAATCTTTAAAAAAAAAAGAGTAAGATTTTTCTTTCCAGGCAAATCCACTGAAATTTCCCAATGTTTTCCAACACCAAAAGTCTCCCAGAATCAGGACTTAGCCAGACAGGATAATTCAGGCCCAGACATGATACACACTGACGGGGAAGGAAGGATGGTTAGCGGTGAGAGCTACTTACTGAGAATAGAATCGCTGGTGTTTATCCTCAGCTCAGCCAACAGCTTCCCTGGTGATCCTACATGCCCACAGTGGGGCTCTGTTTCCAAACGGGCAGTTTTCCTGATGACAAAATCAAAATAAACTTGTGTCCTTAGAGCTAGAGGCAAGAACCCTTGTATTTTTTTTTTAAGTGGTCCAAATGATCGCAATCGTGTGTGATTTTTTTGAATAAACTTCTATTTTTTAAAAAAGATTTTACTTATTTTATTTGAGAGAGAGTGGGAGGGAAAGGGAGAGAGAATCTGAAGCCGATTCCCATGCTGAGCACAGAGCCTGATGCGGGGCTTAATCCCACAACTGTGAGATCATGACCTGAGCTAAAACCCAGAGTCGGACGCTCAAATGCCTGAGCCACCCAGGCACCTCTAAAAATAAACTTTTAGAACAGTTTTAAATTTACAGAAAAGCTGCAAAGATAGTACAGAGAATTCCCATATACCCCACACTCACTTTCCCCTGATTTTCCTGTATTATAAACATCATACATTATTGTATATTTGTCACAATTAAACAACAAATGTTGATACACGATTATTAACTAAAGTCTGTACTTTGTTCAGATTTCTTTAAGTGTTACTGAATGCACTTTTTCTGTTCCAGAATCCTGTCCAGAAAACCACATTACGTGTGAGTGTCTTGTCTCCTTAGACTCCTTTTGGTTGTGAAGGTTTCTCAGACTTTTCTTTTTTATTGAGATGTAATTCATATACTATAACACACACCCTTTTAAAGTGCCCAATTCACTGGAATTTAGTATATTCAAAAATCGTGCTAATTTGGGGCGCCTGGGTGGCTCAGTCGTTAAGCGTCTGCCTTTGGCTCAGGTCATTATCCCAGAGTCCTGGGATCCAGCCCGGCATCGGACTCCCTGCTCAGCGGGAAGCCTGCTTCTCCCTCTCCCACTCCCCCTGCTTGTGTTCCCTCTTTCACTGTGTCTCTCTCTGTCAAATAAATAAATAAAATCTTTAAAAATATATAGTGTATTTAAAAAAAATTGTGCTAATTCTAGGACATTTTCTTCACCTCGATAAGAAACCACATACGCACGTAGTCATTCCCCATTCCTGTCACTCCCCATTCCTGCCACCCCTAGCCCCTGGCAACAGCTGATCTACTTTCTGTCTATGGATTTGCTTATTAAGGATATTTCATATACATGGAGGCATACAGGGGCGCCTGGCTGGCTTAGTTGGTAGAGCATGAGACCCTTCAGCTAGGGGCTGTGAGTTTGAGCTCCATACTGGGTATAGAGATTACTTAAAAATAAATGCAGAATGCCCTTCAATTGGGATTTGTCTGATGTGTTTCTCGTCATTATGCTGGGCTTATGGGTTTTGGGGAGGAAGATCACTGAGGTAAAGTGCCCTTCTCATCACTCATGTCAAGGATGTTGTACTACCATTAGGATTTTTCACTTTTTTTAAAAGCTTTTATTTATTTATTTATTTGTCAGAGAGAGAGAAAGAGAGAGCACAAGCAGGGGAAACAGCAGGCAGAGGGAGAGGGAGAAGCAGGCTCTACACCGAGCGAGGAGCCTGATGCGGGACTCGATCCTAGGACCCTGGGATCATGACCTGATCTGAAGGCACACACTTTAACTGACAGAGCCACCCAGGAGTCCTGATTTCTCACTTTTGATGTGAACCTTGGTCACCTGATGGATGTAGTGTCTGTCAGATTTCTCCACTGTAAAGTGTGTAATTTTAATAGACATTTACATTGATTTCCTCTTCACTTTGGCCACGTGGTTATAAATCTAATATTAGTTTTTGTGACATAGATCTATTCAAATGAAGGCTAGTTTTAACATACTTCATTTGGATTCACACTTTCAAAATTTAGGAGGCAGGGCTCCTGGCTGGTTCAGTCGGAAGAGCATGCCACTCTCGATCTCGGGTTCATGGGTACGAGCCCCACATTGGGGGTAGAGATTACTTAAATAAATTTTAAAAAACTTTATTAATTTTTTTTAAGTTTTATTTACTTGTTTATTTTTAGTAATCTCTACACCCCATATGGGGCTCGAACTCACAACCCTGAGATCAAGAGTTCCATGCTTCATTGACTGGAGCCAGCCAGGCGCCCTTGGATTCACACTTTATTATTATTATTATTATTTTTAAGATTTTATTTATTTGACAGAGAGAGACACAGTGAGAGAGGGAACACAAGCAGGGGGAGTGGGAGAGGGAGAAACAGGCTTCCCCCGGAGCAGGGAGCCTGATGCGGAGCTCGATCCCAGGACCCTGGGATCATGACCTGAGCCGAAGGCAGACACTTAGCTGACTGAGCCACCCAGGCGCCCCTGGATTCACACTTAAAATTTTTTTTTTCTTAAGATTTTATTTATTTGCGAGAGAGACAATGAGAGACAGAGAGCATGAGAGGGAGGAGGGTCAGAGGGAGAAGCAGACTCCCTGCTGAGCAGGGAGCCCGATGTGGGACTCGATCCTGGGACTCCAGGATCATGACCTGAGCCGAAGGCAGTCGCTTAACCAACTGAGCCACCCAAGCGCCACAGGATTCACACTTTAAATAAAGACCTTTTATTTTTTCAGATAGAAGACATTAAATTGCATTAAAAATATCACACTGAAGCAATTTGCACAGATTTTTAAACAAATATTTAATATCCAGTGTTTGTGGATATATAGAGAAAACGGGCATTTCACACTCTGTCTGGGGTGAGGGTGGAGATAGGGAGGACACTCAGCAATTCATCTCCGAGGGCTCGAAATATGCCACCTGAACCCTTCGATTCTATGTTTAGAAATTTATATGAAGAAAACAAATGTGTATGCAAAGATTTGGTCAACAGAAAACCCAACCCAGCTCATTACAGTATTATTTGTAAGAACCAAAAACTGAAAATAAGCTAAGTGCCCCAAATAGGAAATTAACTTTAGAATTGATGACACAACCCACCAGCCCAATGCCATCTGGTGTCAGAAGCATTCTGTGGGTAATGTCAACTATACTTCAATTAAAAACATAAATCATAAACAAAAATAAGTGTTCTGTGGATAGAAACATCTTAGGAACCTCTTTGGGCCTCAATTCCTCATCTTTATTTTTTTTAAGATTACTTATTTATTTGAGAGAGAGACAGACAGACAGAACACAAGTGGGAGGAGGGGCAGAGGGAGAGGGAGAAGCAGACTCCTCACTGAGCAGGGAGCCCGATGCCGGGCTCAATCCCAGGACCCTGGGATCATGACCTGAGCCAAAGGCAGACGCTTAAGGACTGAGCCACCCAGGCACCCCAGTTCCTCATCTTTTTTTTTTTCTTTAAAGATTTTATTTATTTATTTGACAGAGAGAGGCACAGCAAGAGAGGGAACACAAGCAGAGGGAGTGGGAGAGGAAGAAGCAGGCTTCCCACTGAGGAGGGAGCCCGATGTGGGGCTTGATCCCAGGACCCCGGGATCATGACCTGAGCCGAAGGCAGACGCTTAACAACTGAGCCACCCAGGCGCCCCCCCAGTTCCTTTTCTGTGACTATAGATTTAAAATTCCTTTAAAATGGGAATAAAAAATAAATAAATAAATAAATAAAATGGGAATAAAAATACAAACCTCAGGGCATCTGGGTGGCTCAGTCAGTTAAGCAGCCAGCTCTTGGTTTTGGCTCAGGTCATGATCTCAGGGTCATGGGATCAAGCCCTGCATGGGCTCGGTGCTCAGAGAGCGTCTGCTTGAGATTGCGCTCTCTCTCCCTCAAATAAATAACAAATAAATCTTCAAAAAAAATTAACCTCACTGGGGAATTATTAGGATCAAATAAGCTAATACAAAGGCCTCACCATAAATATTAAAACATGTGGAATCATATGTGTGGCAGGGGGACCTTCTCTGAAAAAGGTTATTATTAACGTTAACTTATTCTCAGGTGTAAGGAGATACCCATCCCAGTCCTCTTGTGTTAGGCAGGGTCATATGACCTGCTCTGGTCAACAGATAATGATCAGAAGTAATGTGTCACTTCCTATTTGAGGCAGCAAACAGTCTCTGCAAGACTCTCCAGGCTTCATCTTCCCTTTTGTGGAGGTTGGAGTCACAAGACAGAAGCCGCCTGTACCCCTGAGTCACTGAGCATCATCCCGGGGAGGGTAGCGGCCGTGGATCGTTGCCTGGACCCAGAGCTATGCCTGAGTAAGAAACCGTTGTTTGTGGGGTTAGCTGATTAGCTCTTTTTGTTGTTGCTTGGTGATTGACAACAGCATAACCTCTCCTGACTATTACAACGCATCTGAATGCTTCCGGACAATAACCCAGACAATGTGTTTGGACGATGCAGGGCACCGCCCCTCACATCCTTCATCCCACCGCACATCTCAGCTATTGTTTCAGCCGTTGGGAGAAACCACAGAAACACATGCTGAGCCAAAACCAAGAGCTGGCTGCTTAACTGACTGAGCCACCCAGGCGTCCCTGGTGCTAATTTTTTTTTTTTAATTGAGATATAACTGGCGTTTGATGTCTGACGTTGTATTAGTTTCAGGTGTGTGACATAATAGTTCAATATTTGTATATATTGTTAAATGATCACAGTAAATTTAGTTAACATCCATCACTACACATTGTTACAAATTTTTTTCCTTGTGAATAGGACTTCTAAGATTTACTTTTTTTTTTTTTTTTAAGATTTTATTTATTTGACACACAGAGAGAGACAGCTAGAGAGGGAACACAAGCAGGGGGAGTGGGAGAGGGAGAAGCAGGCTCCTGGCTGAGCAGGGAGCCCGATGTGGGGCTCGATTCCAGGACCCTGGGATCCTGACCTGAGGCAAAGGCAGACGCATAACGACTGAGCCACCCAGGCGCCCCAAGATTTACTCTTTTAGTAACTTTCAAGGGTACTGTTTTTGTTTTTTAAGATTTTATTTTTAGGTAATCTCTACACCCAAAGTGGGGCTCGAATGCACAAACCTGAGATCAAGAGTCTCAAGCTTGGGGCACCTGGGTGGCTCAGTCGTTAAGCATCTGCCTTCGGCTCAGGTCATGATCCGGAGTCCTGGGATCGAGCCCCGCATTGGGCTCCCTGCTCAGCGGGGAGTCTG